GGAAACTAAGACTGAGAGCCTCACGTTACCAGTTGAGGGCCTGGAGTTGTTAAGTAAAAAGGAATTAAAAATTGAAGCCAAACCTCTGTGCTCTTAACCACCGTGTTATGACTGTCAGTGCTTCCTGTAAGCAGTCAAGACTGTAATGTGATTTGACTCCAAGGCCTCTTTTATTTTTTTAAGTGGGCATGTCTATTAGGAAACAAACGCTTGGAAGGTGACTGAATGACGTCAGACTAGTCTACTTCTGTTGTTATTTGCCCTCAAGTCGATTCTGAGTCTACTTCTAGTACAACAATTGTCTTCAGGTTTAGGGAAAGCTACATTCAACTATTATAGTATGGAGTGCATTCGTTCTCCTTTTTATTTTCCAGGCTGCCCTTTATTTTTCAGCAAGGATCTCTTCAGAAAAGATACTGTAAGGCCGAGAAACTAGCGAATGTGGAGTAGTCAAAGAAAAGGAAAAGAATTAACAGTACTTCACTAATTATGCTGATCTATAAAATCTTAAAAGCAAACAGACATACAGAACAATTAGCTATCACTGACAGTGAGCCCTGGCCTGCTCAGTGGTAGAAACATTGCCTCCAATGTCTTCTTTCTTCTGCTTGTTCTTTTCACAAGCCCAAACCAAGCACGCACCAGACTCATAAAGCAACGTTTTTAAAAACAGAGCAGAAAGCAGGTCAGTTTTGGTACCTGAAGCAAAAGTTATTTTCTAAAGTATCAAAAGGACTTGAGAATATGTTTTTCCCCTCCCTCCCCCTGAAAAAGTCGCAAACAATATTGACTCCAAAGGAGCATTGCATCTACAGATTCTTTAAAAAACATTTGTCTACATTTTTAGTTAATGCATTTACCTTCGTTGTTGTTATTGTTGTTAGGTGCCGTCGAGTTGGTTCCGACTCATAGGAACCTAGTGGCCAACAGAATGAAACACCGCCTGGTCCTGCGCCATCCTCACGGTCATTGTTATGCTTGAGCCCATTGTTGGAGCCACTGTGTCAGTCCATCTCATTGAGGGTCTTCCTCTTTTTCACTGTCCTTCTACTTTATCATGCATGATATCTTTCTCCAGGGACTGATCCCTCCTGATAACATGTCCAAAGTATGTGAGATGTAGTCTTGCCATCTTTGATTCCAAGGAGCATTCTTGTTGTACTTCTTCCAAGACAGATTTGTTTGTTCTTTCGGCAGTTCCTGGTATATTCAATGTTCTTTTCGAACACCACAATTCAAAAGCGTCAATTCTTCTTTCAGTCTTCCTTATTCATCCTCCAGCTTTCTCATGCAAATGAGGCAATTGAAAACACCATAGCTTGGGTCAGAAGCACTTAGTCTTCATGGTGACATCTTTGCTTTTTAACACTTTAAAGAGATCTTTTGCAGCAGATTTGCTCAATGCAATGCATCCGCTGATTTCTTGACTGCTGCTTCCATGGGCATTGATTGTGGATCTAAGTAAAATGAAATCCTTGACAACTTCAATCTTTTCTCCGTTTATCATGATGTTGCTTACTGGTCCAGTTGTGAGGATTTTTGTTTTCTTTAGGTTGAAGTGTAATCCATACTGACGGCTGTGGTCTTTGATCTTCATCAGTAAGTGCTTCAAGTCCTCTTCACTTTCAGCAAGCAAGGTTGTGTCATCTGCATAACGCAGTTTGTTAATTAGTCTTCCTCCAATCCAGACACCCCATTCTTCTTCATACAGTCCAGCTTCTTGGATTATTTGCTCAGCATACAGATTGAATAAGTATGGTGAAATGATACAACCCTGACGCACACCTTTCCTGACTTTAAACTACTCAGTATCTGCTTGTTCTGTTCAAATGACTGCCTCTTGATCTATGTACAGGTTCCTCATGAGCACAATTAAGTGTTCTGGAATTCCCACTCTTTGCAATGCTATCCATAATTTGTTATGATCTACACAGCCGAATGCCTTTGCATAGTCAATAAAACACAGGTAAACATCTTTCTGGTATTCTCTGCCTTCAGCCAGGATCCATCTGACATCAGCAATGATATCCCTGGTTCCACGTCCTGTTCTGAATCTGACTTGAATTTCTGGCAGTTCCCTGTCAATGTACTGCTGCAGCCACTTTTGAATGATCTTCAGCAAAATTTTACTTGTGTGTGATATTAATGATATTGTTCCATAATTTCGGCATTTGGTTGGATCACCTTTCTTGGGAATAGGCAGAAATATGGATCTCTTCCTGTCAGTTGGCCAGGTAGCTGTCTTCCAAATTTCTTGGCATGGACAAGTGAGCACTTCCAGTGCTGCATCTGTTTGTTGAAACATCTCAGTTGGTATTCTGTCAATTCTTATTTTTCACCAATGCCTTCAGTGCTGCTTGGACTTCTTCCTTCAGTATCATCGGTTCCTAATTATATGCCACCTCCTGAAATGGTTGATTGTCGACCAGTTCTTTCTGGTATAGTGATTCTATGTATTCCTTCCATCGTCTTTTGATGCTTTCATTGTCTTTTAATATTTTCCCTGTAGAATCCTTCAGTATTACAACTCGAGGCTTGAATCTTTTCTTCAGTTCTTTCAGCTTGAGAAATGCTGAATACGTTCTTCCCTTTTGGTTTTCTGTTGCCAGGTCTTTGCACACGTCATTATAATATTTTACTTTGTCTTCTCAAACTGCCCTTTGAAATCTTCTGTTCAGCTCTTTTACTTAATCATTTCTTCCTTTAGCTTCAGCTACTGAATGTTCAAGAGTAAGTTTCAGAGTCTCTTTTGACATCCATTTTGTTCTTTTCTTTCTTTCTTATCTTTTTAATGACCTCTTGCTTTCTTCATGTATGATGTCTTTGATGTCTTTCCACAACTCTTCTGGTCTTCAGTCATTAGCATTCAACGTGTCAAATCTATTCTTGAGATGATCTCTAAACTCAGGTGGGATATACTCAAGGTTGTACTTTGGCTTTCATGGACTTGTGCTAATTTTCTTCAGCTTCACCTTGAACTTGCATATGAGCAATTGACGGTCTGTTCCACAGTCAGCTCCTGGCCTTGTTCTGACTGATGATATTGAGCTTTTCCATCATCTCTTTTCACAGATATAGTCTATTTGATTCTTGTTTATAACATCTGGTGAGGTCCATGTGTATAGTCACCATTTATGTTGGTGACAAAAGGTATTTGCAATGAAGAAGTCGTTGGTTTTGCAGAATTCTATCAGGCGATCTCCGACATTGTTTCTATCACTAAGGCCATATTTTCCAACTACCAATCCTTCTTCTTTGTTTCCAACTTTTGTATTGTAACCACCAGTAATTATCAGTGCATCCTGATTACATGTTCGATCAATTTCAAACTGCAAAAGTTGGTAAAAATCTTCAGTTTCTTCATCTTTGGTCTTAGTGGTTGGTGTTTAAATTTGAGTAAAAGTTGTATTAACTGGTCTTCCTTGTAGGCCTTTGGATATTATCTTATCACTGACAGCGTTGTACTTCAGGATAGATCTTGAAATGATCTTTTAGACGATGAATGCAACGCCATTCCTCTTCAAGTTGCCCTTCCTGGCATAGTAGACAATATGATTGTCCAATTCAGAATGGCCAATACCAGTCCATTTCAGCTTACTAGTGCCTGGGATATTGATGTTTATGCATTCCATTTCATTTTTGATGATTTCCAATTTTCCTGGATTCATGCGTCGTACATTCCACATTCCAACAATTAATGGGTATTTGCAGCTGTTTCTTCTCATTTTGAGTTGTGCCACATCAGCAAATGAAGTGCTGAAAGCTTGACTCCATCCACATCATTAAGGTCAGCTCTACTTTGAGGAGGCAACTCTTTCTCAGTTGTCTTTTGAGTGCCTTCCAACTTGAGGGGCTCATCTTCCGGCACTGTATCAGGCAGCCTTCCGCTGCTATTTATAAGGTTTTCACTGGCTAATTCTTTTCAGAAGTAGAGCACCAGGTCCTTCTTCCTAATCTATCTTAGTCTGGAAACTCAGCTATAACCTGTCTGTCATGGGCAACCCTGCTGGTATCTGAATACTGGTGGCATAGCTTCCAGCATCACAACACGCAAGCTCCCACAGAATGACCAACTGACAGACGTGGGGAGCATTTACCTTTAAGTATTTACTGACATTTAATGGTGTTTACCTTTAAATGTCAGTAAACACTTAATATTTTATGCATTCTGAATTTTCATACACAAAGGGTTAATAATATATATTTTGTTTGGGTAAGGAAAAGGATATTAAAGAAATTGCAATTTGTGGAAATATAGAAAACATAAGTGGTAATAATTTCCACTTTCAATTAAAATCAAATTGTGCAATTTGAAAACAATGTATTTTCCAAAAATTACCTATTGATTAATATTATTTTTGTTTTTTTCTCTTTAATATTATTTATTCTGTATGAGACGATATGTCTTTTAGCTGTTCATATTCATCAAAATAGCTCCTGAGATTTGCATGCAATATTTTTATCTTAATCTGAAAAACCTCTCATATCAAAATACCTCTACATTCTCCCATTGTTATAATGCCAAAAGAAGCTTATACCCTTAGGAAAACAAGTATCCTAGCCTTGCACCTTGGCATGTAGCTATATGCTACGTATCACAGAATCTGGTAGGAGGTATAATTTATGACACCAACCATATGAACTCAAGAGTTCTCAGACCCCATGACTCCTATAAAGCATAGACGGCTTTATTTGTACAACATATTTGGCATTTCCCATGAGCCACATAAAGCTCAAATAGTATCATAAATTTAAAAAGTCTAGACTTAAATAGGACATGGTTGATGACCTCTTCCTACCTTATTCAGCTTCCAGCATCGCTGGGAGTTAATACTGAGAAAATATGGAGAACTCTTTTCAAGGGTTCACATTCAATAAACATTAGCAAAAATCAGGCTGTCATCATTTTTCATTTACTAAATGTCATCTCAAGTTGGGGGTGATTTTCACCCCCAGCAATCCCGTCAGAATGTCATGTTTGTACTTTGTTTGATTTATAGAATTTTGGATCACTATGTTCAGGAGCAAATACCTGGTGCCAAGGTTGTGGTGGAGTCCATTGGTGCTCGCCGGCATGGAGATGCCTTTTCTTTAGAAGATTACACAAAATGTGATTTGACTGTCTATGCAATCGACCCCCAAACTAACAGAGCCATCGATAGAAATGAGCTTTTTAAGTAAGTACTTCTTATTGTGTGTGTAACAGCTCTCCGGTCCTTTATGCCATCTACATGTACAATGTCACTCACAGATAATCCTTATTTAAACCTATGGCAAAAGTAGTTAAAAGATTAAAAACACCAAATTGTTGTTTAAAGTAAGCAAAAAGTCTAAGAGACAATTCCTAGGATCCTCACATCTTTGGAATTTCCAGGTCCAAGCTTGGATGGAGTGGTTTCAAGGGATCTGTTCTTATGAGCTCCAGAGGGTTCGTTCACCCTGTGAGCGAAGAACATTTTGACAGATCACCTCACAGCAGCACCTCACCCTTTCTCCAAGGCCCTGGCTCTTTGAGAGCAAAGCTCAGATTCTTTCTTAAAGTGCCAATTTGCCTGCAGCCAGTAGGCTTGAATTTTAAGACTAAATCTAGCTTTCCTAAAAAATCTATTAAACCAGCAAACAATGCTGTCAAATATTTCCCTTGGCTTTTGAGTGGGGAGTAAAGGAAATAATCACTCCCATCTATGTGATATTTTATCCTGATATGAAGTTGAATTTTTGAGTTCTAAATTCTACAAATGGGAATCTATAAAGAAAATGCTACAGAATCTTAAATAAAACAGTACTTCATATTTTCCCTTGGACGTTATTCTAGCACAGTTTAATACTTTTCTTTTTTTAAACTCCATTCGCCATTTCTGCTTTACTCTTGTGACATCTAGTGTTCAACAAGGATTCATAGAATGCAATTATTAACTAAACTGAAACATAATTTTTAAATAAAAAAGTAATCATAAGTGTATATACAAAATAGCTTATATGTGTGTGTGATACCAAAACCTATAATTTTTTAATTTAGTTTCTTTGTCTATACAGTATACACAAACACATATATATGTGTGTTTATTTATTTATTAAATAGGTACATATTTATTTATTCGTTTACTTATTTATTTATTGTTGTTCTATTTGTGGGCTGTCGAGTCGATTCTGGCTCATGCTGTTGTTTTTAGGTGCCCTTAGGTGGACTTTCCAACTCGTAGTGACCCCATGTGACAAAGTAGAACTGCCCCATAGGGTTTTCTAGGCTGTAATCTTTAGGGGAGCAGATCTCCAGGTCTTCTCCTGCAGAGTCCCTGGTGGGTTCCAACGGCCAACCTTTCGGTTAGCAGCTAAGATCTTAACCATTGTCTTTATTTATTTATTAAAATCCATAAATTATTAATTTAATTTTACTTTAAATCTACTCGTTAACCAAATTTCATTGTTCCTATTTTAAAACAAAAAATCAAACCCGTTGCCGTCAAGTCAATTCTGACTCATAGTGACCCTATAAGACACAGTAGAGCTGCTCTATACAGTTTCCAAGGAGTGCCTGGTGGATGCAAACTGCCAACCTTTCGGTTAGCAGCCATAGCTCTTAACCACTGTGCCACCAGGGTTTCTGTTCCTATTTTAGAGGCAACACAATAATAATTTATACTATCAACTTAATTTTTTAAAAAACCATTGTTATTATGTAAATTATTCATCATTTCATTTTTAACAGATATTTGAGACAAATGCAAGACTGTATACTGTGGGGAAACACAGATAACTGAACTAAGTCTTCTTCTTAGGCTTTATAATAACAATCCAAATAAACAGGATGGCGCAAATGGTTAACACACTCGGCTGCTAACTGGAAGGTTGAAGGTTCGAGTCCAGCCAGTGGTGCCTTGGAAAAAAGGCCTGGCAATCTACTTCTGAAAAATCTGCCACTGAAAATCTCTTGGAGCACAGTTCTACTCTGACACACATGGGATTGCCATGCGTCAGAATCAACGAAACAACAGCAGTCTTTTGGTTTGAACTGCTGTTACCTCATTCTTAGAATAGACACTGGGGTGCTATAGGATTTTTCTCAGTATTCCTGCTCAGCCCTTGGCTTTCTGTAGGTCCCTTCATGCCTGTACCACAGAAAAGATTTCTCTCTACACTTTTATGTCTCCCGAAGTGGTAGATTGCTCTTGTTTGTTACTCAGTTCTATGCTGTGGTGGGCATGGGGGTATGTGTGTTTGGGGAGGGGGTGGCTTTCCTCTGTTCTTCTGGTCCAGCCTGTGCACCTGAGCCTTGAGGAGGGGCTTTCTCTCCTTTACATGGCAGACAAGCTCTGCTTTCTTTATATTTGTGGTAGGTCTTGGGTGCAAAGGAGTTTTTGCCTCTCCACAAGAAGTAGCAAATGTCTGCTTTGTACTGGTGCAGGATCTTAGGCCCAAGAGAGTTTCCTGTCTTTTTCCCAGCAGTAGTAGAATCTTTCTTATATCTCTTTCCCCGAAGCCGTGGATCCTTGTCTGAGCCCTGGGGATGAGAGTATTCTCTGCCCCTCCCACTATGGTTTAAGGTTCTTGCTTTTTTTTAGGTAAAGGTCTGAGGAATTACATAATGGTTGTGCCTGTGTCCCAGGCTTAGCTGATTACTTCCTGCATGCCTGAAGAGGCTCTCTCTCATCTACTGTCTTGTCCCTAATCTATTTTATGGAGTTCCATGAAAAAGTTTGCAAATGAGTGCAAACTCCCCTTTTGTTTGGGGTTTTCTGTTATTCTAACCTTATATGCTAGCACACACTTAGCTTTTAAACTTTTATTAACGTTTTAACTTATTTCTTTTTGCTTACCTTTTCTTTGTCTGCCAAGGGTAAAACAAATGCATGGTCTCATCTCACTTGGCAAGGAATTGTCACTCTTTGAAATTTAGTTTCTTCACTTGCCTTGTGATATCAGCTTAAGAAAATGTATTAACATTTTCTGACTTTTTTCATCAGGATGGGAGCTACATTTTCTTGTGGCTTTTTGTACCCTAAGCAGAAATAAACCATATTACTTTCAAATTAAAATGAATTAAATTAAACAATTAAGTGAATGCAGTTTTAACTTGTGCATGTTTTCATATGTCCAGCTAGCTTAATATTGGTATGTGCAGATGGAAGATGAGAGATTGGGGAGAAAATAAAGAAAGCCTGTATAGTCCACAAATAGTGTCCAAAAACACAGTACTTTAAAACACTCTTAAACCTTAAAAAGGAACATGAAAACTAAGCTCTGAAAAAGCTGCTTTCAACTTCCAAAGTCCAGGAAAAAGCACAAAAATTCAGAATACTGAAAACTTAAGTGATCAGAAAAATAAATTAGAGTCTAGTTAAAAGAACCGTGGAACTGTATAGAGGGAGTAGTTGGCAGTCTATCTACGCTTTGCTTCATTAAGCGGAGTAACCTCATCCAGTGGAATTGATGTAGGAAGTTATTTTAACCGTCCCCCCCTCCATAAAGCCCAAGGAAAGCTGCTTTGTGGTTGTTGTGTGCCATCTAGTCGACTCTGACTCTTAGTAACACTATAGGACGGAATAGAGCTGCCCCACAAGGTTTCCAAGGCTGTAAATTTTTACAGAAGCAGACTGCCACAACTTTCTCCTACAGAGCCACAGGTGGGTTCGAATCACCAGCAACCCTATAAGGCAGAATAGAATTGCCCCAAAGAGTTCCCAAGGAGCAGCTGGTGGATTGGAACTGCCAACCTTTTGGTTAGCAGTGGTAGCTCTTAAGCACTGTGCCACCAGGGCTCCAGACTGTGCCACTGGGGCTCCAGACTGTGCCACCGGGGCTCCTTAAAGTTCCTTTAAAAAGCAAGGTTTTCATCTACAAAAGCAGATTTATAAAAAAAAAAAAAAAAAAAAAAGCATCCATATGACCTTTTGTTGAAGTGTGGAAATATGGAAATTTGAGTAAAAAAACTGTGTATCATGAAAACTAAAATTATCTGAGCTACTGGGTTTCTCAAATTGGAAGACTAATAAACTATTCCATAGAATTCATATCTGATACTGGTCATCTATTTTTCCATATAGAAGCTATGAACAGTATGTTAACTAAATCTGAAATCAACATGATCACTGAAAATTAGAACAAATTATGTCAAAAGACATAAAAATAGACTGCAAGAAAATGCACAAGCATATGGAAGCTTTGGTTTTTATTTAATGGTGAAATTTTAGGCCATTTTAATTTTCTTTCACTTTTTTTGTATTTTCCACATTTTTTCAACCTAAGTACATTACTATGTTATTGTTTGAATTAAGAAATATATTTCTAAAATAATCCACTTCACTTTATAGTTGTTATATAACCACAGTTATACAAAAATATTTATTTATAGCAAAAAAATGACAAGATGAGTATGCCAAAACTTTAACAGCAATATACTTGTGTTGTAAGACTATGGGTGATTTTTCTTTTCTTGAACTGTTTTGTTTTCTAAGTTTTGATAGTGAAACATTTGACCTTTATCAGTTACAATCTTAAATAATTTAAAAAGAAAAATACCCAAGTTATTTTATTCCTGTGTATTAAGAACACAACTGCTGGATCAGTATCTAGGATTTATAGTGCACTATTCATAAGTTCTTGAGGAATTTTCAAAAAAGATATTACCTGCCCATCACAGCATAAATATATAACAAAATATGTCAACAGTAATTCCTTCATTATCCTCCCCAACACATTGCCCATAGTTGGAAGTACATGAATTAGAGGAAGGTTTTGCAAGAACTACTGGATTAAATTGATCACCAATTCCTGTCATTCTGACTGCACTGATATGCTACCTGCAACATTTCTTTAACCTTCTCTTCTGATGCAGAAAACACCATTAATTTGTTCAGTGTTTGTCCATAAAACATTTTGGTTTGAGATTTGAGAGTGCTGACATTTAAGATGATATGGTGGAAAACAAATACAGACTCAGTCTGAAAGCTGGGGTTGGTGTCTCAGATTTGTTCCCAAACTGTGCAGCAGTAAATTAGTTTTATAGGATTGTTCTGAAGACCCACAGAGATAAATGTATAAATCTAATTTGTAAACTATGCTATATAACTTAAGATATTATATATTATTCCATCTCAATAACTTAATAATGTAAATAGTCTCAACACAATGATAAAAAGTTCAATGATATTGATAATATGTTTTCCCAAGTCTCTAAGCTTATTAAGTAAAGGTCATTGTTAATATCATTGAAATGTTTGTATAGATAGATAGTTTTCTCTTCTTTATTGATCATGCTTTTTATATATGTTTTGTTATTAGTCATAATAAGACTTCTAACTCATATTGTGTTTCAATTAAAGAAAATATTAAAAGATTTTGTAAAAAATAAAAAGGCCAGGATTTTTCTCTGTTAACATCACTGACTTTACTATTTATCTGACAATAAAGATTTTTGGATGGCAAACTGCTTGATATCAATAAAGACTTTCAGCCGTATTATGGGGAAGGAGGACGCATTCTGGAGATCCGGACTCCGGAGGCAGTGACCAGCATTAAAAAACGAGGAGAAAGTCTAGGCTACACAGAGGGTGCCTTGCTGGCTCTGGCCTTCATCATCATCCTCTGCTGTATTCCTGCCATCTTGGTGGTTTTGGTCAGCTACAGACAGTAAGTATTCATAGATGTTAAAAGTGGATAGCTCCTCAAGAGTTATTAAAAACCATCTCTGGTAACATGACTTTGTAGCTGTAAATCATTGATGATTACTGTATCCGTCTTGTACCAAATTGCCTTCCTCAAAGGGAAAACAATACAGCCTTTTGATTCATTTTTCACAGGTGGCTCAATGTGCCTGTGCTCCTAATATATCCTTATCCAACAGGAGTATTACATTAACTCCTGTGGTTTTGTTTGTTTTTCATCAGGCAGACAGTCTTGGGAGAGGTTTTCCTGGGGAAAACGCAGTTTTTTCCACTTTACCCGGTTCCAAAGGAAGATCTGTAACCCTACTATATTGTCACGATACTTTTTTATTTAAATTTACCTTTTGTAAATTTATGTTAAATTTACCTTTATGCTGATAGTCACAGTGTGGGCAAAATCATTTTAAAATCATAACACACCATATATAATTTTCCACATGATTTCTTCTACCCTGGGTCACTTGGCCAGTGCCTGTACTGTAACATCTTGCAGAGTATTTGGTTGTGTAGGCCCTTAGTTTCTCTGATTCCCACACTGAAATGCAACCATTAAAATACACCACATTTTTCTTATTTAGACCCTTCAAAGTAGTCAAGCAATTTACAACTAATTTAAACATACTTTTTTTCGAGGTAGGCAAGAAATCCATTTTTTATTTGACTCTAGGTATGGGAAATTTTTGTGATGGGGGACTACACATTAAAACTCTCTCCTAATTGGAAATGATTGGTGAAAAATTTGGAGAATAAGGTTAAGAAAGCCCTGAGGGTGGCATGAAAGAAAAATAAGTACCAGATGGGAATCATAAATCATATAAATTGCTTGATATTACAAACAGTAAGAAATAATGGTAGAGCTGCTATTGATCATTTAAGATACCTACAGGGAAAGTACTAAAGTCCTTATGTATTCTTAAACTGCTATCTTTTTTCTCAATCACTAGGAATTTCTTTCATTTTATTTTTGAATTAAATAATACATCTCTAACCTGAAAGTCCAAAACATATGCTCTGCATGAAGATTCTGTAGAAGTATTTTCTATCACAAAAATAATGTGAAGTTGCAAATATGACATTTAGGTTGATGTAGTGGAGCTTAACGGGCCCTTAACAAATCAATTGGTATGCCAAATCTAAAGCCTATGAACAAAATTAATATTGGACAAATTGTTTTAAAAGATTAAACCATCAACTCAAAATTAATTTTCAAATTAAATGTGTTCTGTATTACCATTTATTCTTTTTCATTCAGCTGCTTCCAAAATCTGGTCTATTATATCCTGCTAGCAAGAAAATCAGTGAGAGAGCTTCTTACATTTAGTATACAATGTAATGATCAAAACTGAAGCATCCTGGGTATTATACTCAGTGGTCTGAAATTGAACAAAAAATTAAGATGCTTAATATTTCAACTTTTTGTCTTTGATAGAAGCATTATTTAATTCTTTTATAGTTCAGTAATCAGCTTAAAACCCAATGAATTAATTTTAAGTATTGCTTTTTTTTTGGCTTAATGGAATTAAACAAATGAGTTTTGTCCTGCTCATGTTTCAAAGTAAAATTCGAATATTTAAAAACTAACTTTTGTACCTTCAGACTCGGCTTGTAAATAAGATGGGAAAAGATGGTTATTCTTTTATATTAAGATGTGTCTTTGAAATTTGCTATGCATGGAAAACCAAGAAACCAAATATGAAAAGAAATGTCATGAATTCATTACTCAGGAGTGGCACCTTCCAATTGTAGCTTCAGCTTCTAAGTGAGGTCAAGAGTATTAATCAGGGCTTGCTGCATGACTCCATTCCTTTAATATTCTTCAAGCAGAGTAAACCAAGAAGCCAATTATAAAGATCAGATTATCTTTAATATCCCATTTCTCTATCATAGTTGAAATTCACATCTCTTTGTTGTAATTCAGTTTTTCTTAACCCATTTAGTTCATTTCTTTGTTTTCCTGTTATGAATGTTTTAACAGCTTATATGGCTGTGACAATAATAATAAAGTACTCACCGTTTTTCACTTTCTGTGTTGAAATACTTAGTTTCCCAACTATGTCATTAATTCTGTGTCATTACGAATTCAGCCAATAAATTATTCATAATTTAGAATAAATCAGATGTTAACATGTGCAGTATTTCTAATGTAGGTTTCTCTTTTTTCTTTATTCTTTGCTTTCCTACACAGGTTTAAAGTGTAAGTATAATCATTAATATTTTGTACGTCATTTTATGTAATAACAAAAGCAGAAACCCAGATAATATCCGTTAAGTAGTCAGCCTGCCCAGAACTATGTATTATTTGTTTGTTTTGTATTCTTAGTAAGTGTATACTTTTTGATTCAAAAACTTATGGTTTTGTGTGTATGGAACTGAACAGGTTTTACCCAATTGGATATAACTGGAGAAAATGAGAAAAAGAGTTTCCTCTGATGGTTTCCACCCTTTGAGATCTTGGTGTGGAGGAAGGCATTAACAATCGGTGTACAGAGCTTAAAAACAGCAGCCCAGCTTTACCTGAGTATCACAAGCATCACTAGAAACTAAAGGGACATAAAAGCTAGCCAAATCTTTCTCCCAAATGTGCACGCCTACACAGCCTCAGTGAACTAATTAACAAAAATGCTTCAAATAATATAAATAAGTTTTATAAGTAGCTAGAAGACTAATATTAGAGGGAAACTGTACATGTTTGATATGCCACATATTACAAAAGGGGTCCATTAAACAACTTCCAATAGCAATCACATTTTTATAAATATTGTGCCTTCTCCTCTTGAGTAACATCCTCCATTAATTTAATTTGCAAATATTTCTATGGAATTCTGCTCCTTATTAAATGAGTGGAGCCCTGGTGGCTTAGTGGCCAAGAGTTCGGCTGCTAAATTTGAAAGAACCAAGGGGAAGGGTACATGTAAGTGATGCCCCATGAGGGTACATTTGTAATTATATCCGTCTGTAAGTTCAAATATTTGTATAAAAGATTTTTTTTTTAAGTACGTCCCTCTGATAATTGGAACTTATTATTAAAAGTTAGCCTGTTGATAAGCATATGATTTCTAAAATGAGTTTTACAAAACAACCTTACTCTACTAGACGCCAAGCTGAGTGCACCAAGACAGCGCGAATCCAGTCCGCTTTACCTGCAGCCAAACCAGCAGCGCCTGCCCCGGCTCCAGTGGCTGCCCCCCCACCGCCGCCCCCACCTCCGGGGGCGCATCTCTATGAAGAACTTGGGGACAGCACAATGTAAGTAGACCTTTCAGGAACTTTGAAAACTAGGTGGGTTTTAATGGATCCTGTGTGGTGAGTATTTAATTTTAACGTGACATAGAAATGCCGCTTTCAGCCTCCTTTGATTATTTAATGTCTTCAACAGAAAAACGGTAAGATGAGAGCCTAAGAAAAGTCAAATTGAAAAGTAATAGCAAAAAACAAAACAAAAAAATTGAGTTAGAGAAAAACTATTCAACTTTAGAAGACATTTGCAGATGAATAGCTTGAATATTATAATTAGACTCAATCTTCAGGCTCATGCAGCGATTTTTTTCCTCAACCTTATAAATAGATTTTTTTTGGGGGGGGGAGGAGAAAAGGTTAGTTATAGAAAAGGAGGAGAATAAAGCACACTAATAAAATAATAATTCCTGATTTGGGAACAAAGAAACAACTCTTGATTTGGTGATCAAAAACCATTTCTGTGGTTTAAAAATCATAGACTTTTCCAAGACACTATTTTAGGATATTATGGAGTAAGTAAAATGTAAATGAAAAAAGAGACTATGTAGTAAATGCTCAATCACTTAGAGAATATTATTTCCATTATATTCATCTTGAAAGCATCTGCTGTGATAGCTTAATATTTCTCCTATACTGTTTGGATCTCTAGGCAATAGTAAAGCATAAATTTCTGAAAAGACTTTTAACTTGTTAAAAGGCTTCACAGCTGTTTCTATCATGATGCTACTCTCATAATCAGATTCCTTTTGGAGATGTTTTAACATGTCTATATTTAAAAAAAAAAAGTCAAGAGCAACTACTTTTTGATATGAAGAAGATGATAAAAAAATTGAATATAATTAGATTAAATCCAGGAAATCTTTTATTAATTGGAATTCTGTGGAGTGGGGGAACTAAAACATAATGTTTTTTTTTGTTACAATTGTAGCATTTACTAGTGGGAATAAAGCAAGCCTCAAAAATTATGAAATTCACCTTTTAATGAAAAAACTAGTTTTAAACAGATGTGCCAATATTATTTTTCCATATTAATATTATACAAAAATATACTATTATACAAGAATAGTTTTAATAATTTTTAAATTGATTTTGTTGTCTACATATTTTAATGTTAAAACTGAATTTAAAGCAGCTGAACACAAGACATTATTTTTCCCAAATAATAATATAATACAGGATTCAGGCATCAAATATATTATTTCATTTTTTTCCATAAGTTCAAAATGATAATCTCTTTTTGAACTATTGGTGAATTTAGGAATTGAGCCAATATGTTTTGATTTTCTCTAGTCATGTTAACCACCTCTCTCTAGTCAAAAATGTTTAGAAAATAAAAAAGCATAATGTATAAAGTTAAGCAAGTTTATATATAAAATAAATGAATGCTATGTATTTTGTTTTACAAAAGTATGTATACTATAATAGCATCTGGAATCAATATAGTTTGATGGTGGTAATTTTCAAATATCAACACTTAAGGACTTGAATTTTTTATTTCACAAATAGTAGATATAGAAGATTTTTATGATTATAATATATGTACTTATTGAAATGTTTTAAGTTCTACACATGTAATTATCTTACCAGCTTTAATAGTTTTTATCTATTTAAAAAATCTTTATAGGGATTCTAAGTTCCTAGAAAAAAAACTAACTTCTAATGAAACATTTTCAGTTATTTTAAAAGAAAAAAAAAATCAAAGGTCATTTTAAGAGAAGAAAATTAAAAATAGCTTTATAATGTTAAATGATAGCTACATATAGATTCAGCAACTACTCAATCATCATAGTACTTGTGTATTTACTTTTTTCCAAACAAACGTCTATATCATCTTTATAAACCAGTGTAGATTAATTAATTTTTCAGAATTAGGACATAGAAGCAGTTCTTCAAGTCTCATTTAAAATTTCTGTTTTAGAATTCAAATAACCTGTGTTAATAAAGGTGAATTTTACCTATATGTAGTAAATAGATCACGAGATATAATTTTATGTGATCAGACAGGAAAATAAATGTCATATGATTTTATCTAAAACATTAAATGTCATTTTTATAAATAAATACAAAGCAAATATTAAACTTCCGTTTCTTTTTTTAGATATACATACTAAATGTTTAAAGCAAATTCCTGTTAGTATTTTCGTAATCATCTTAAATTAACTGTAGTTAAAACTTTTTTTTTTCTATCACATGTTTTCTCTTTCTCACCTGTGGATACATAGGCATAAGTAAGTAAATAATACCATTGTAATACAAGAACATTAGGGAAAAAATGTAGTAGAATAGATTATGTGCTGCTTTACTCTAAATACAGTGGTATTCATCTTTAACACTGAGATTTTACTTTTATAAAAGGAAAGTTAGATCATCCTCATCCCATTTCCTTTTGATATCTTTTAAATGACATGAACTATGTTATTTAAAACAAGTATTCCCAGTGATAGTACCTGGGCCTATCAAAGGGGTTTCAAAATTTGTTAAAAATATTCATAGATTTCTTTCAACAAAAAGTTACGTGTTATCATTACATAGATACCCCATGGTTCTTGTCATTAAGGGGGAAAAAAAGGCTTTTCAAGATCAGGAAAGGTAAAAGTATTTGGTGTCTGTTTCATCTGAATTGTCTGCACTTCCTGAATTCTTCAGGTGGGCCTGGTAGCCCAAGTCCACCTATGAGAATTCTCCCTTGCAGTCTGTATCTTCACCAAAAGACACAATAACAACTTTGGCTTTATTTTTCATTTTATTGCTTCACCAATCACTGTAATTTCTCAGTATGACTATTTAATTTCTATTCAAAATATTTCCCTTTTATTTCCCTCTGCCTTGTTGCTAAATATTAAGCAATAATTAAAATAAATCTGTTGTTCTGTTTGGGCTTGAGAGCAAGATCTAAAGGGAGGCTATTGAAAACCACGTATCACCCAGCCTTTCTAGAGGAAGGGCTTCAGTGCTTTCATTAGAGGCTATTTATTTGTGCTTTTTCACTTACTGTATTTTATTTATGACTCACAGCCACCTATGACTCTGTGTCCACACATGACCAAATCCTTCCATGGTAGCAAAACTATGCTATCTTAATGTTAGTCTTTCTGTTAAAGTAAGTCTTGACTAAAATTTGAACCAAATCATATTTGAATAAAATGCCAATAGTACTTCTTCTTATTGGTATTATTTGTAATATTTTAAAACTGATTAAGCATCACATTCAAATAGAAGATAATTATCTCTGTCAAGATTCTAACATAAAATCAGTTTTTCAGTTGTGATTTTGAACTCTGTGATAGAAAATTTCCCGTCTGTCCTTGGAGACTTCAGTTCCCTTAATCTGGATAACAGAAAGCCCTTTCTGTATTCTCTTGCAAAATTTGTCCCAGATAGGAGAGTACTTGTAGTTCCAGGACAGAATTACTGAGGTGAAAGATAATAAATACTGAATCAGATATAGCTAAAGATCAATCCTTTGTCCATAATAGTTGGCTAGGAGCATCCACAAGCAAAGGATGTGAAATAAGTAGCCAAGATTCTGGGAAAACTGTGATTTTTACATGAGACAACTTCTATGTGTCGACATAGAGTCTTTGCTGTATAAAATCAAGTGGAAAAAAAAAAATCAGTCTACAGATGGACATATCTCTTAAAAATGAAAAATTTTCATGCTTGCACAGCTCTCAAGCCTTTCTTGCTCTGCCTTTTTGAGAACAGGGACATGAAAGTAATGTCTTGCTTCAGTAGATTAGTGTTGTTTGGCCTTTTATATTTTGAAGTAGTAATGAGAACCATAGAAACATCTTTCTCATGAAAGCTATGTCACAACCTGTTTCCTTACATTTCACTATCTTCTTTTCTTTCAAGTCTTTTCCTTCTCTACCATTTTCAACAAAGCAGGGGAAATAAGTCAGTCACAGAAGACAGGAAACATCAGCAAGTTGTGACACCCTTTTCGTCCTGTACTATTGAGGCTCACAAGCCGGCTCATATAAAAGGATCATTTAAAAATAACCAGCCCAAGTCTGCAAGAAAATTCACATTTCTATCTGATGAGGACCGCTTAAGTACTCACAATCCCCTTTATGTGGAAAATGTAGTTCAAAGATCAATACATTCAGACTTATCACTAAAAGCAGATTTTGTAGATCCATTTTTGCCCAAAAGACGAGCCAAGACTGAGTCTTTGAGGGGCCCAAGACAAAACATTCAGAGGATGTGGAACCAGTCAGTCTCCTTACCTGGGAGATTAATTCGGGGAGTATCAAACAGACCAGAAACCATAGATCTGAGGCAATGGCCAATCAACAGGCAGAAAGCTGAAAATGAAAGCAGTAGGAACTATTCAAAAAGAGGGAACAGCAATACCTCAGTTACAGCTGAAGATATACATTTAAAAGAGAAAGGAGAAATAAGGCAAATTGAATCACCAGTTACACAAGGAGCTGTTCAATTGAAGCCTCAATCTTCAGACTCTTCATTTTCCCCTCTTTGGCCTCACTCCTCATTCTCCACTTTGCCAACTGTTTCAAAAACTGTGGCCCTCAAATCAGAACCTACTGTCGTCATTCCTCGTGCTGACTGCTCCTTGGAACTTTCTCCTTCAATGCCTTGCATTTTAAATTCTCCACAGTTTAGGAGAGAGACAGCCACTATTGAAACCAGAAAGAATATTTTTGAAAATCTTCCCCATCCACCAAACATCCCTCCTCCTCCTCCTGCTCCTTCTCTTTTCTTCAATCCTTGTTTTTCTCTTTCTTGTCCTCCTCTTTCTGCTCCTCACCTTTCTCCTCCTCCTTCTCCACCTCTTTCACTTTCTGATCTTCTGTCTTCTGCCCCTCCGTTTTCTTCTCTTCCTTCTCCATCTCTTCTACCTTCATGCCCTTCTCTTCCTCCTTCTCTCCCTCCACCAACTCCTCCCTTTCCTTCCCTACCCTCTCCACTTCCTACTGCACAATGTTCTTCAGCTTCAGTTTCATCCACAGAGTGTACTTGTATACCAGTTTTCAACCGCACTGTCAACCTGACACCTGCTGAGAAAGTTCAATCCTCTGTTTCACAACTATCATCATCAACAGTGGGTGATGCAGACGCTCAAAGAGAACCAAAAGGCGTCCTCAAACATATTAAAAACTTACCAGAAATTGAAAAGTCAGTGGCTGATATGTACGGTCAAATAAAAAAAAACTATCCACCTGCAGATATCTCAAAACTTCAACTTCTTTGCCCTTCAGAGGTAACAAATATGGACACCACATGTGAACAATACCAGGAGAATGTGAACGGTATTGTTGAGGGATCGGAAAAACAATCTCACCATCAGTCTACTTCACTGTAATGTTACTTTTCCTATTTAATTGAGCAACTCTTTTGTTGGCCATAATTCGTGAGCTGAGTCAAATTGAACATCGGAGAAGATTCCATCCTTTTATCCTAATTCAAAGCAATGTTTTCTTTTTATTTTTAATTGAAAAGATCATTAGCTTTATCACTACTAACTCCTAGAGTTACCTTAATTTTCTTAACTTCAAAGTAGCATTATTTGTCCTACATTTGTTTAAAAAGTAATTCTAATCTATTTTTAAATGGGAATATATGGGGATGAAAGATAGATATCCAATTTATATCGACAACATATTTGTCGTGTATTTAGTAACTTTTCATTTACTTTTTGGTCATAGTTTTTATATGAGGGCTCCAGGAATAGATGCAGACTATTGTAAGTAAGCTACAGATAATTTCATAAGTTTTGTTATTTCTTGATGCCTCTGTATTTGGTAAGAAAAAATACTAGGAAAGTAAAGTGTTATGTATCTAGAAATACAGGAGATGACAGACATACAGTATTCCAAAATAAATCCCAGGTGCTATAATATGTAGTCATCTATTTTCTTACAAGAAGATCCTTACTCTGGCTTGCTTTTATCTGACTAGTATGCTTACAGATTTGATAAATCTTTTACATTTGTCAATTGCTGTCTTATTTTATGTTTCTCATTGTACTTTCCTTTCCCTCTTTTATCATGAAAATAAATCTTGAGTTGTTGACTTTTGTAAGACATTTCATTGTTCCCACAGATGTTTAAATAACTATTTAATTTTGCTTGTTTACATTATTTTATAATCTCCTTAATTATAATTTTATCATAAGGTTTTCCGTCAAAGAAAATATTTGCTTACCTCCAGTTTAATGAAGAAATTCTAATCAGTTTCTTGAAAAGAAGGTTAAATAAATGTCTGCAAAGATTTATTTACCATGAATTTGGTTACTGTTGATTTCATTGATCAAATTATAAACATTTTCCTGTAAGTTTAATCAATACTATAAAACCTACTTGTACATTAAATTTTTAGAAAAGTACATTATTGACTTCATCTCTACTCTTTTTTAGTGATTATGGGTAAATCATACAACTTTAGCCTGTAATATTGAAATGAAGTAAAAAACTTTGATTAGAAACTTAAGAGGGGATATACTTGGTGAACTGTGACCAGTTTTCTATAGGCTTTTGCTCCTTGTTTTATGCAAAGAAGATAAAAAGTGATAGCCTGGGAAGAAATTTCTGTAATTGTAGTAGTTTGTTTTCTTATTTTAGAGGGCAACTTGTTAAATTCTGAAAGACATCAGCTAAGCTGAGTCTTCTTTATGAAGCCCACACTTTCACTAAGCTATCTATATAGTGATTCTATATATTAAATGTGACTACCAATAATTACATTGTTTTACCATACAACTTATGTAATAGATCTCATTGACTGGAAATCCCCAGTTTAACTATAAAGTATAACAGTTGTTTTCAACTGGAGCTGTGAAATTTGAGTATATGTAAGTCTGTACAGAGAAAAGTACAATTCCAAAATATAGACAAAAGTCATGTTTGATGTTTGATAATTACCATTGTAAGTATATAAGTATAGATTCAGGGCACTACAAGGCATCATTTCAAAGGTTCTTTTCATCTCTTATATTGTGTGACATTTTTTCAAGAATTTGATCTAACATCTCAATTAATGAGATCAGATAAAAGACAACATTTAATTATTTGCATTAGCTCATCTGCTTCGGATTCTTTTCATCCACATCAAGAGTAATTTCTTTCTTGGGGTTCTTGAACATGATTTTTTTCTCTCTTTCACTGAAAAACTTCAGTTGGAGTTTTTGTTGGCAGCTGGTCATATGCATGAGAACTTGTGCTATTTGGCGGACTCTAAAAAGGTATTATTCAAAATTGTGTAAGCCTTTAACATGCGTGTATTTTTTTTAAAGGAAATTTCTTTCAGCTTCTTGCAAATGTAAATCTGAGAATTCCTTGATAATGAAATCTCTAAATAGTAACCAAGGAACTATTATAGGAAATTCAAATAAGAATTTTGTGTAGATATCTATAAAAACCAAAACAAAACCCATTGCCATTAATGGGTTGTGACTCATAGCAACCCTATAGGACAGAGTAGAGCTGCCTTATAGGGTTTCCAAGGAGCAGCTGGTGGATTCACTCTGCCTATCTTTTGGTTAGCAGTCGCGTTCTTAACCACTACTCCACCAGGCCTCCTTGGTGCCTATGCTCTTATTAAATTGTTACACTGCCCTTTTCTATGAATATTTTCATGTTTGTGTAATTAAACATTTTTATTATTATATTATCCTTTTCAAATGAAACATTTGTTTTATAATTAATCCAGTCTTTTACTGACACATTATATTTAGAGATTCCTGGCTTCATAACACGATTCAGTTAAAATATCTTTTATGTGAGACTTATAAATATTCTGTGAGTACACAGCCAAAAATATTTTCCGTCCCTTGAGCTAAAACAAGCAATACAACTAACAAGGTCAAAAGCAACAAAGTGTATAATTAAAATTTTTTTAAAGTATCTACTGTTATGGAAAATATTTCTAATGAGAGGAGGCAGTTTAACTACCCTGGAAAATAAAGATTAGCTTTGGCTGAATAATTTATATGACGTATGTGATTTGGTTGTCATTATTGAAACCTAAATATGAGTGTTTTCTACTTTAATTATTTCTAAAATATACAAATTGAGTATGTCTCAATTGCTAAAGGCTCTGGAAAGAACTCATAAAAATTGGCGGAACCATGTAAGCACTCTGCAAATTCACTACAGAGCCATTTCCAGTAATAAATTGCCGATAGAATTAAGTTAGTATTATATTTACCTTTATAACCAACAGTTTCAATCAACAATGCCTTAGCCACGGAAGACACTTTCAGATAAATAAACTTAAGTATCTTGCTAAGGGCTTGTGTTTTTTTTGTTTTTTTTTAATTTTTAATTTTCTACAGAGATTGTTTCACTGGGTTTTTGAAAGTTATGTATCTACCTCTTCATTAAAAAAAAAAAAATCTTCCTTGTAGTTGCTTACTACTTCCACAAAACATGGCCAACAGAATCAGCTAAATACTTCAGGTCAATGTTTAATGAATTATAAATGGAAAACATTTTAATTGATGATATTCAATACTGAGAACATTCTATATTCTCGTTTACCTTCTCCAGTACAGTCAAATGTTTCATGAACTTGTGGTCCATGAACTTTATATGTCTTTATGTAGTGATGAATATTTGACTATTATATCTCTAAAGGTATTCTCACTTCAAGTCTAATAATATAGCTGACTTTTATATTAAAGGATAGTCAATATTTTTGCCTCCATGATTTTTAGAATCAAATTGACACAAAGAGAAAAAATAATCTTACAAATATTTGGAAGTATGTATTCTGATCATGGAGATGATATTTTCATCCCATACCTATTAATTTCTTATATGAAATACATCTTTTCCCCAAATGAGTATCTTATTTGTATCAAGAATTAGGACAGTGATTGTGTAGAATATGTTTTATCCCAATTTATCAAAGCAGAGTCAACGTGTATTTTTATACACCACTGAGATAAAATAGATTATGTATTCATTGGTGTTCATATGAGATGAGGGTGTGGGGTGATAATTTTTACTAATGCAGGCATGAAACCTTGATCCTCCAGATAAAACCATATATCCTCTTGATAATACCATAAAACATATTTCTCACTGAAAAAGATTTTAGTAAATATTACCTTTTTAGTTTTTCTTCACATTTTTAAAAAGTCCTTATCTATAATTTTATTAAATCTGAAATATTAAGACCTTTAATACTGATTTCTTTATTTCTGCCTTGCAGGAGATGTTATGCATCAGAGGTAAGGGCTTTATGGTGTTATGTTATATCAGGCTTACTAGGAAAATATTTTTGTTATAGACAGGATTAATTTGCATTCTTTCAAAAACAGGGCATTTTCCTTTACCTTACAAAACTTCTAAAGGATACTATTTTCTCATTTTATATGTGTTACCTCTTTCTTTTTGTGTTTTCAGTTTATTTTTTACAGTGAGACCAGAGATCAACTGCTTACCTTTCCTATGATAATTTCTTTTTTCCTTGAATTACCCTTACTTAATATCATGACATTCTCCCTGATTTCTTTGTCTAAGCTACAAACCCAATTTAGAAAATAGAGGACTGCATATCTGTTGGTCCTTCTACTAGTCCCAACTCCATCTTATCACTTTAATCAACCTCGGGATGTTAAAGAATTTTTTTTTTTTTTGATATCAGACTATTAGAAAGCTCTTGCTATCTACTGTGTTAATTTAACTCTTAATCTGCACAGAATACACTGGGAATTCTTCTGGCCAATAGAATTTGACTAGACACAGGGGAAGTGGTGCTATCAATGCAGTCACTGAGAAGCTAGTATGGTTTAGCAGACAGCTTCTTGGACAAGAGAGTCAAATAAGTATATGACCTAATTGGCTAATGATTTAGAATGCATAAGCCCTAAATTATATGTAAATCAAGCTGAATGCCTGTAAGATTAAGTGGTTGGTAGGGATGCTTGTGATAGATAATAGTTCGGATCAGAGTGTCCCCAGTAACCATATCTTAAAACATCTATCCTTTCAGTGCAATAGTGGTTCTGTTGGCTATTCCAAAAAGGTGGTTTTATGGGTGGAATTATGCTCCAGAACCTTTCTAAGCACCTTCCAAATGCTTACTTTAAAATTTGTGTTACATAACTATTTTCCCCTAAAGAGTTGATACCCCAAAATTTGAATTGTGTGTCTTGTTCCCATTTCATTAATCTACTTCCAAAATTATCATGAAACAGAGCAATAGAGACTGCATTTCCTTAAAGTAAGTATGGCTGAAAAGGAGGTAGGAGGCGATCCCTACAAAGTCTGAGGAAGGAGAATTTCCCTAATTACAAAAGAATTTCTGAAAACCTGCTTAATGCTTGAATGGCAGCCAACCACATTTTGGTAAGAAGAAACTAGGAGCATGTTTTAAATATGATGGTGAATACATTACGACTATATC